AAGGGGGGAGAGGAGAGAGACGAAGGAGGAGGAGAGGGGAGATGATGTCAACTCAATGTTTCCAAAGATAGTAGCTTGAACTGTCAGAAGTGACGAAAATCCGAAATGTCGTGAGTACAAAGTCTCACAATCTCCCGGATGTCGATCTCACAATGTCAAGTACATCTCCGAAGGAGAGATGGAATCAGATCCCGAAATAGTCCTCAACTCGTACTCTCAATGTCGCGGTCTCCAATGTCATAAAAAATTGTAACCATCTCCATTATTGTAGTAGTAGTCCTGTAGGAGTAGACTTAGACTGAGAAGGTAGGGAGAGAGAGAGAAAGAGAGAGACGAGGCAGAGGAACAGAGGGAGAGAAGGCAGAGCCTTCCTCCCGGTGCCTGCTGGTAGCTATGGCGCGGTTGGGCCGCTGCGCTGTTCCTCTTGCCGCTGCGCCGCTGTCTCCTGGCCGCTCTCGATGCTGCAGCGCTGCACTAATCTGCTTAACGCTTGGCTGCTCCGCTAATCCTCTAGACTAACTCGTACATACTAACCTTTCCACTGAGGCTGGTACCCAACCTTTTGTAGTGTTGGGCCGGCCTCTTGCCTACCGGTACCTACTGGCTTGGACCGTTGACCTAGATCAACGGTCCAGTTTCGAAACTGGTTTGGCGCCTAAACTACGGCAGCCTCTGAACCGCTGCCGGTAGGTCCTAGGCTGGACCGGTACCGGCCTTGTGGCCGTTTGGCCTGGGCCTGCCTGAACCGCCGTGGTTCAGGCCCTTTTGAGCCTCATCTGAACCGGTGTCCCCTAGGCTAACCCTGCCTGTCTTGGAACCGGGCCCTAACTGGGGCCCGAGTGGCTCAGTATGCCACACACTCCCCCCCTTGAAGGACCGAGCTAACTGCGAGGGCGAAGCTGTCTGTCCGATGTCCGTACAGGGCGGGCAGGTTGGGCAGCTTCCTTAGCAAGTCGCTGTTTTTCATAATGCGCAAAGACGAGGGGTGCTGATGCCTTCATATCAGCTCTTGAGATCCAGCGTGTGTCATTCGGATCGCATTGCTTGAATGTAACTTTGTACTGCATTGGCTTGTTGCCATGCTTGCGATGCGTGAGAACCCGGTCGACCTCCTGATGGCCATCCATTGAAGGAGGGTCCTGTGACCGTCTGCCCGGGAAGTCCGCTGCGGAGGCTGGAGTGTAAACCGCCAGCTTCGAAGCGTGAAAGATCGGGTGTACCGTCAAATGCGGGGGAATCTCAATGATGAGTGATGGACCCGCGGGGTCGTTGCCAGCTGCTGAAGTGACCATCCATGGTCCAAACCACTTCGGGAGGAGCTTGCGCGAGACGTCCTGCTCGAGCGCGAATTCCTCGGAGGTGACCCAAACTAGGTCGCCGACGCGAATTGGACATGAGATGCGACGCCGGTTCGCTTGCCGCTGCATACGGACCTGAGCCTTTTGCACGTTAGCGCGGGCTTTGGCCAGTAGTTCCCTGTACTTCCGTGTAGAAGCAGGGGAGCAAGCGGCGTCTATATCGGCAGCCCGTGGAAGCAAAATGTCTGCTAAGATACGTCCTTTCCGTCCACCGTGGTGCAACTCGAATGGAGTCACGCCAATCGCCGGGTGCACCAAAGTGTTGTAGGCGAACTCGATGTCGGGAAGGCGGTCAACTCAGTCCTTCTGATCCGGGCGGATGAGTGTGCGAAGCATCATCTGCGCAGTCTGGTGCGCACGTTCCGTCTGCCCATCCGTTTGAGGATGCCGTGCGGAGCTCGGTTTCATGCTGGTGTCGGATTCCACCATGAGTGTCGTCCAAAAGGCCGACATGAAACGAGTGTCGCGGTCGCTGACGATGTCTTCTAGAACGCCGTGGCTGCAAAACCAGCCGGTATGCAAAAGTCGTGCGAGCTTGGGAAGCCGTCGCATGATACTTGCATGGAAGAAATCGAGCGTACTTGCTCAAACGGTCAGCGACCGTGAGAACACCATCATGACCAAGGCGATCGCGAGGGAAAGGACCGGTCACATCCATAGCAATGGAGAGACCTGGTGCCCGAGGTATCGGCAATGGTTTCAGTTCGCCGTAAGGGAGCTGATGGCGCCCTTTATTCCGGTGGCAAACTGCACATGACTGAATGTACCAGTTGACGTCGTTGATGATGTCTGGCCAGTGAAAACGTTGGCAGAGTCGTGCTAGTGTGCGTGCGACGCCAAGGTGTCCTGCCAGCCGCGAATCATGGTATTCGCCAGGGAGGCGAGTGCGCAGGATGCGGTCTTGGGGAACACACAACAAGTCCTTGCCTCGCGTATGGAGGAGCAAGTAGCCGTCGGTGATGCGATAGTTGCTTGTCGGCGGTTGGTCTGATGATAAGTCCACGTAGAGTGTGGAGAATCCCGGATCCGACTTGTAGCCGTTTACGAAATGTTGTTGGAGGTCCTCGTCGAGGCTGAACGTGGAGTGTACCATGGCGCAAAGATCGGGTCTTCGCGAGAGAGCATCCGCCGCCTTGTTCGAGGAGCCCGGAATGTGCTTGGAGGTGAAGTCGAATTGGTCAATGAAATACATCCACCGACCGATCGTGCTGCTCACCGTGTCTTGCGTCTTGTAATGTCAACGGATTGTTGTCCGTTGCCCACGTGAATCGCCGACGCCCGAGGAGAAAGTGACGCCAACGCTCAAGTACAGAGACAAAAGCTAGGAGTTCCTTCTTCCTCGCATCATCAAGAGTGTTGATGGGCGGCACCTTTTGGCTGAAATACTCAACCGGATGCCAGTCTGTGCCGTCATGCTGTTCCAAAACCGCGCCAATGCCGTTACCGGAAGCGTCCGTAGTCACTTTGGTAGGCAACGTCGGGTCATAGATGCTTAGGATGGGAGCTTGAAGCAAAGCCGTCTTCAGCGTGTGAAACGCATGTCGGGCCTCGTCGCTGAACTCGAAAGGCACCAAGGGGGACTGAAGTCGTGACAATGGTGCAGCGATGCGTTGAAATCCTTTGACGAAGCGCATGTAGTACGATGCCAAGCCGAGAAAGGAGCGGACGTCGGTAGTACACTTGAGGTCCGACCAATCTTGAATAGCTTGTAACTTGTTCGCGAGCGGACGAATGCCTTGCGGCGTGACGTAATGGCCCAAGTACTCCAACTCTTGCTGGGCAAACTCGCACTTGTCGCGGTTTGCCTTGTACTTGGCGATACAAAGTCGCTCCAATACGGCGCGAAGGTGCTTGAGATGCTCGTCCAGCGACCGACTATAAACCAAAATGTCATCGAGGTAAATGAGTACGGAGCAGTCGAGCAAGTCGCGGAATTTCGTCGTCATAGCCGCTTGGAAAGTAGCCGGGGCATTGGTGAGACCGAAAGGCATGACGATCCACTCAAAGTGCCCATACCGCGTCTTGAATGCGGTCTTGTACCGATCTCTTGGCTGAATCTCGATCTGGTGATACTCGGACTTGAGGTCTAGCTTGGAGAAGTACTTGGCGCCGCCGAGTCGCTCGAGAAGATCATCGATCCGAGGGAGAGGGCCGGCGTTCTTGATCGTTTGTGCGTTGAGTTTACGATAGTCGATGCACAACCGAAGGTCCTTGTTCTTCTTCCGGACGAAGAGAACGGGAGCACCGTATGGCGAGCAGCTAGGGCGAATCCAGCCGTTGGCCAAGAGGTCGTCTAGTTGTGCTCGAAGCACTTGATGTTCCTTTTCGCTCATGCGGTAGATACATCCGCGCGGAGGTACGGTGTCGTCCTTGAGAGTGATCGCGTGACGTATGGTCCGATCCGGTATGACTCCGGCGGGAGCTTGAAAGACATCCCCATAGCTGTCCAACAGCTCAATGATGCGAGGGTCCGACGTATCCGTCTTGGGCTGATCACCGGGTGGGAGGGCGTGAAGAAAACATATGCCCATCTCCTCGATGTCGTTTAGCCGGATGGATTGGCGAATGCTCGCCGCGGATACCACGTGACAACCAATCGAAGGATGAGGAAGCGGCACCGTACACGGGACTAGTTCGCCATGCCGATCACGAATGTGAACGGTGCGGCGATGGAAGTTCACCGGATGGTCTTCGCTTTGCAGCCACAACATGCCTAGGATCATATCGAACTTGGTGTCCAATATGTCGAGGGACACGGCCTCGCTTGCTAGTGGGGCGAAGTACACGGGCACCGAGTCAACGCATCGGTCGATTGACTTTTGTGTGTGACCATCGGCCAACGTGACGTGCGTAGGCTGACTTTTCCTTCGAACGCGCGGGCCTAGCCCGGCGCGTGCCATGAAGTCTTGGCTGATGTAGTTGCGAGTCGCTCCACAATCGATCAAGGCACTGCAGGTCGCCTTTCCGATCTGAATGCGGATGTAGAGGAGCGGTGCGTCGCTGTCGACGTACCGTTGCGTTGCGTAGTCACGGTCGATCTTCGCAAGAAAGTTGCAAAGGTCAACAACCGCTACTCCGTTGTCCGTCTACGGAGGTGGTACTGCAGCGTGCAAGTATTCGTGTAGATGTGCCATTAAGGCATTGCAATGCGGAGTTGGCAAAGAACCGGTGGAGGGCAGATGCAACCATTGGAAGTCCTCAACCGTCAACGGGTCGAGATCCTCAAGTCTCGCCCAAGTTGACGGATCCTTCGATAAGATGGCTGGCGAAGCCACCGGTTCATTGTCCGAAGGCGGAACTGCCGCGCATACGCTTGAATCTTGCACGTGGAGAGGCTGGTTCAACGGTGGGACCAGCTCGACAGCATAGTTCTCGTACTCAACGCGAGAACTTGCGACTGTCGCGGTGTCCCCGGATGTGAGAGAGGCTGCTAGCAAGGCAGCCGACTCCGGCGGACTGGGAAGTGTTGTCGAGCCAGGACGCTTGACATTTTCTTTGTCCTTGTCGAGGCATGCACTGGTGATGTGCTTGGTGCTATTGAACCACAAACAGCATCCCCATTTTTGTCGCAACTTGAACATGTCCTCGGTAATCCCGAACTTCGTCCATGGTGCCTGTCGTGCTCCATCCGCCGACGCTGGTTTCGCCTTCTGTTTTCCCCCTCGGGGTTTTGAGCGTTGCGGTGGTATCGCTGCCGCCACATCTCCGTCACTTGATGTTGAAGCGGCTGCGTGGTCCTCACTTTGTCCTTGCTGGACTATTGCTACTTGCGGCGTCCGTTGACCTTTTCCTTTCTCCACGTAACCGGGCTGCTGACGAGTCTCGTTAGCCGCACGTCGGTTACCTTGTATAAGCTCTCTGGCTTTGGCGATCATGTCGTCAAAGTTCTTATACTCGTATTCGCTGCCGAGAGCAGCAGTCAAGGCGTCGCAAGATCGGGCGAAGAATTCGCCTCGGATCGAGTCGAACGGTAGGTTCAACTCCGGGGTGGCGACGAGTCTTTGCCACTCCGTCAACCATTCCCACGAAGGTTGCTGGCCTTGGAAGATGTGGAAGATCTTGTTCAAGGCGTGACGCTTGTCATTGTTCACCATGAACCGGGTCTTCCATTTCTTCTCGAACTCCTCCCACGTGATCTTCGTATGGAGGGTGGCGATGGTACACTCAAGCGTCGCGGCCATGTGTGTCATGAATGCTTGCGCTCCGCCTATAAGTTGGAGGTACAATGCATCCAGCCGCCGTAGGGGCGGAGTATGATGCACGTCGGCCTCTGCGTTGAATGCCATCCACCATTGCAGCGGATCTGTCTTGTGATAGTCGTCAAACTTCTCGATTTTGAAGTTCGGCATCTTCCATTCCTTGGCGACGGCGACTGGACGTTGATCGACGCGGTCGCTGAGCGTCTGCAGCTGATTGCTGACTGTAGAGGCTCCTGCAAACTTGCTGATGTCGCCAAGGGATGCGACTAAATGATTGACCCGCTCTTCCAATTGCTTTGCCCGTGCGGTCAAAGCTGGGCTGCAGTCGACTGCTGCACTGCCCGTTGACGCAACTGCGGGCAGCTGTGCCAACCCGTTGTTGACATCTGCCTGCAGCTAGTGGTTGAGTGTCTGCTGCTGGCTGTTGGCGGCATGTAGTGTTCTGTTCTCGGCCTGCAGCGATGTGATCTTGTTATCCATTGCCTTGAGTGTTGTTTCATGGCGGATGAGGACCTGCCGCGTGGCGAGCAGTTCGCGTTGCTGCCAATTGCATGTGTACAGCAGATTCTCCATCAGAACTGCTATTCCTTCTTTATCTGCTTCCTTCGTGGTTGGCTCTTGCCGTTCCTCGGTTTCGTGGAAATGTTGTCGACGAAGTAGCCTGCCATAGGTGGCTTCATCGTGAGTCAGATCCATAGTGGCTTGGTAACGAGCCTGGTTCTGATCTGCCTCGACCTGCTGCTGTTGCAACCGTGCGGCTGCTGCAGCTTCTGCTGCGGCCTGCTGACGTGCTGCCTCTGCCTCTGCCAGCTGGCGTTGAATCTCCTGCTGGCGGGCGACTTCCTCTTCTTCCCACTTGCGTAGTTCAGTGGCCGTCGTCTCGGAATACTTCGTGAGACGGTCGAGGAACGCTAGAAGCGGTTCATCGGCCTGCTGAACTGGCGGCCTCTTGGGGCTGGTTGGTGCACTCTTGTCAGAGGTGGCAGCCATGGTCGTGCATCGCTTGCGCCTTGGACTCGCGTTCTGCCAATCGTAGGCTGCGGCGCATTTAGTGTCCGGCTGCACGTTGTTGTTGACGTCCGGCTGCACGTTGTTGTTGACGTGGCACTCTGCTGACGTGGCACTGTACTGACGTGGCACTCTGCTGATGTGGCACTTGCGTGTCCCTCTGCTGATGTGTCACTGTGCTGACCTGTCACGCTGCTGATGTGGCACCTCTGCTGACGTGTCCGAAGATTGCAGTTTGTAGGATTGAGAGGAGAAGAGAAGGTTGGGTGGGGAGGAGGGCTAGAGAGGCACACAATGCACAGACAGTCCCTGTGTCCCTTGACCTCGAAGTCTGGTACTAATCAAAGGGGAAAAAAAATTTCCCCCCCGAACGAATTTTTAAATTTCGGGAAATTAAATAAATTTTAATTGAAAAATAGCAATTAATAAAATTTAATTTTGGCAAAAAGATTTAATACCCGATTAACGAAATATTTAACTTTGCAACGTTTATTTCACAAAGGTTAAATATGTAATCGAAATATTTTAGATTTGCATCAATAAAAGAAATGAATAAGTTTAAGCAAGTTTAAACATTTAGACATAACTTTTGAAAATTTCACGAAATTTCGTCGAAAGTTTTTAGCATCGTCATGAGGTCACTCATATAGTAGGGATGATAGTTAGCAGGAAGATACACAATTCGCTGGAAAGATTCAATCTTTGGATCGCAAAAAGATGTTTGCAAAAAAGTGAAAGTTTCGTGAAGTTGCAGTTCGCATATGGCCTAGCTCAGGCCCGATCAGCCTTGCTTGGCGCGGTGCCTGGCTGGCACTTACTCTCGATAGGTTAGGTAGGTCGTTTAGATTAGGTTAGGACTTGACCCTAATTAGCGCTAATTAGGTTTACCTCGTAATTAGGAATTCCTAACTGCGTAATTCGGGAAAAGTTGTGAAACCTAAATGTTCGATTAGGACTAACCCTAATTAGCGCTAATTAGGTTTACCCGTAATTGGTAATTCCTAATTGCGCAAGATTGAGAAAAGTCGCTAAACCGAAATTTCAACATCCTAATCCTACGAAAATGCACGAAAAGAAAAAAAATTGCAACTTGCGATTTTAATGATAACAGAGTGCAGGAAAAGATAATCAATCAATCAATTAATGGTGAGTCATCCAATACTGGTCTGCTCCGATACCAAACTGTTGCATACTTGTGAAACACAGTCGTAAGTATGGCGCAGATTCCCAGTACTTTGGACTGACTCAGACCTGACTCGGATGGCAATCGAACAACTCTCATACATTCATCGGGTGTGAACGCCCTGGCCTTGAGAAGAGACGAAGGGCCAGGGACTGGAATCATACACGGACGAAGG